TCTGCCCCCTGGTGGTCAGTGTGTGTCAGTGACCAGTCATTCTGCTGTTAGGGTCAATTTGCATATTACCCTTTTATTATATAGGAGATTTTACTGCTATTATGAAGGAAATATTTTTCAAGTCATAATTTCAAATAGGTAAGACATTTTTCTCAATGAGCTTTTGCTGTATAACCAACATGCTTCAATTTCAGCTTGATTTATTCTGTATGTAGAAAAGTATTTATAAGAGTACTTTACTTCATAGACATAAATGAACTCCGTACTTGAGAGAGGACACTGAAGGCCATGAAGATGATTACAGCAGATTAACTTTGTAATTATGAAAGGAACTAAAAGGAGCCACTGGTTATCCATTTTATTCTAAAGTGTAAAATTGCGTAGGTGCAATTACACATTTATTTTTATTACTGAGGAGGGAAAAAAGACAAGAATTTGGTTCACCCATGTCTGTAATGACAAGTAAAAGACGAATTGAAGATAGTGGGGACTCTGAGAGGACCTAATTTTTCCTTATACTTTGAGCCTAATGCACCTCATCTACCTCATTGTCTGACAGTCCATTGTGGCATAAGCAAGATGAATAATGTAGGCAATATCTCCCATGGGAATTAAATTAAAAACAAAGGCTCTAAGTAACCGGTATCTGAAGATCATGCTATAAAACTGGTCCCCATGTCCTCAGTCCCACTGGACCCTGTTGTCCCTGGAGGCTGCATACACACCTGTCATTCACTTGCCCTTGGCTTTGAAGGTGGCAGGATGCCAGCCTCAGCCAAGTGTTCACAGTGCAAAGTGCTTCAGAGACTCCTCTGAAATGAAAGTCAGTATGTAAATGTGCAACATGACGACATTATTATTCTAGCTTCCTGGCGGCTTTCAGCAAGCACTGCCTGCCACATGAGGTCTCAAGTGTTCTGGCACAGTGTGCAAGCGTTCGAAAGAAGTTAAAGGAATGAAATTGGAGCTACATTTTCAGAGCTATTCAAGCTGGCATGGAGGAATGGAGTCATGGAATCAGGGTTGGATGGTCTCCACCAAACAGCCCAGGCGAGTGCCTGTGATGCCAGGCTACTAAGCAGAATTTTCAATCGTGAAAGGCCACCAGTATTTCTTCCTCTGGGTCTAAAATTACAAAATGTACACACCTCCCCCAGGCTCACACCATTCTCTGGGTGCTTTCTGCTCAATCCCCATCCACCCGTTCCCTGGAGCACACCAGTTTGCTTAAATCCAGCGTAAGTTTTAAAATGAAGAACTAAGTACAAAGAGGAGAAAAAAGTTTAGTTAGAACCCTAATATAGCATAAGCTACTGTATGAAGTCTGTGGCTATTATTTTTCAGAGGGGGCCAGGCTTATTGTATATCTCATCTGTCTTCGGTACTATCCTAGAAAGTGTCCACTTAGTGGATTTTAATTGACCTTGTCATTTAACCAATCAGAAAGGATATATGCACCCCTATGTTCATAGCAGCACAATTTACAATAGCTAAGATTTGAAAACAGCCTAAGTGCCCATCAGAAGATGAGTGGATTAAAAA